AAATTTTTAATTATAATTAAACAGCTCAGCTTGACATGTAAAAAGAAAAAAGATTTCGTAAATAAGATGCCAATTCTGTAAACCAACAATTGAGACAATATGAAATCATCTTTTGAAGCTTCATATATTAGTTCCATCCCATTACGTCAGCAAATATAATTGTGGAAAGTGTACGACCACAATTGGTTGAAAGAGTTGTCTAAAGTCTTACAATTAGGGCAAGTGAATCAACTATTATATATGCTGTTTATCCACTAATCTCTAATAATACTATTGTTAGTTGACTAATATACAAGTAAATCAGATACCATGCCGTAATTTTAGGTTTTTTTTTTTTTTTTCAAGTTCATATTTTTTGTTTCCTAGTCAAGACGCATTAAGTTGTCCAAACAGGATATAAAACATGATAATATTAAAAACAGATGAGACTTTTAGGAGTTCTAAGAGCTAGTCCTTTTCGGCTGATGTCCCAAAAGAAAATGGGAGAAAGAGTACAAACATTTACATTGATAATATGGCCTTTTACATATATATATATATATATAATTATATATGGACGAGTTTACCCATTAAATATGAAAAATTGATAACATGACATAATAAGAATCTAATTTTATTAACAATTATAATTTTTTTAGTTAATTATCTAATTTATTATAACTGTCAGATTGATATCTTACGACTAAAATGCTTTTCAAGGTCAATATGTGATATGCGGGGTTGCTTGTGGATTAAGGCTAGTTATACAAAACGACAAAAACTTAACTATCAGCTCATGAGGATTAAATTGCGCACGGTGTTCATATACATGTAGAATGGACCATACTGAGTAGGAATATCAAAACTACGCATGTCTCACTTGGTTGGCAGTAAATATCTGTAATAATATTAATAGTGTGGGTGCTATGATACCCAGAAATCTAAGATTGGAAGTAAAGCAAGGCAACTGAACAAAAAGCATGTAGCAACTACATTCCTTGTATTGAAAGGGGAATGCCAGATGCCATTTTGAATAGGATTCACTCTTCTTTTCTGTTTCTTAGCAAGATAAAGGGGGGAAAAAAAAGGGGCAATCTTTTACAGCGGTTTAATGTGGAAGTGACAATAAAACATCTCAAATATTAGCTCTAATTGGTTGGCACTTGGCACATTATGGCCTCTTTTTCCCTAATAATGCCACTATTTGGTGAATCGTGATAATGTTGAGTCAAAACGCATGAAGAAACAGATGAATCACGCGTACAAAAAAAAACTTGATAAAACAAATTAAAGATTATTTTAAATCGTGCTTTTAGTTTATAATATAGCCCCATCGGCCTTAATCATCTGACCAACAGACTTTTTACTTTAAATAGTAGTTGCTTTGATCATTTGTAGGGCTTGATTTTGACACCATTTGAAAAAGAAAATAACCTCAACAACCCTTCTCTAATACTTCATCACGTCTTGCCACGCCGTCGTGAAATCATTCCACATTTTAAGAAAATTGAAAAAAAAAAAAGAAAAAAAAAAGGAAAAAAGAGTCAAAGAACATATTTATGGGGAGAGCCTTCTACTACATATTGGCAAGCACTTTCTAAGGAAGTAGTACTAGCGCAACAAGTGCTGGACCTTCCAAAGACCAAAGAAAGACTCAGAGAAAATTAAGGACGTGTTTAGAATTCGTTCTAAAATAATTTTATTTTATTTTTATAAAAATAAAAATAAAAATATTTTTAATCTCAGAATACGTTTGATAGTTTTATCAAGAGATTATTTTCAGTATAAAAAAACTCATTAATGTCTCTCTCTCTGCTCGAGAAAAGAGAAAATGAAAATAAAAAATGAAAAATAATTTTTTTTATTTATCTTTTATTTTACACTAAATTAAAAAATTATTTTCATTTTTATTTTTTATCTTTATTGTACCAAATATTGTTTTGAAAACGTTTTTATTTTTTTTCAAAAAACGTGAAAAATAAAAACAGAATCAATTCCAACTGAATGGAGACAAAAGTCAATCATTTTTCATAGACATTTCTCAATCAGGCCTTGAACACGTGGTAGAAGATATGTTACAGTTACACTCAGTATGGGATATCTTATGTTTACATCGATATTGGTCGCTCCACCGCACAAATCTAAGGGTGCGTTTGGTTATAGTGGGGGAATAATAATAGGAATGGTAATGAGAATGGTAATAAGAATGATAATGAAAATGGTAATAGAATAGAATAGAAAGGAAAGATGATTAATTTGTTTGGTTCTACTTTTACAAATACAATAAAATGAGATATGAATATTTTCATTTTGACAAAATTACCCCTCATATTAATATAACTAATATCATCTATATTAATATAATCATTTAATAACTAATATTATATATGTAAAATTATAAGGATATAATATATATAATTATAATTATCGTTATATAATTATTTATTATTATAATACAATCATGATATATAATATATAATATAATAAAATAATGATATTGTGATTATTTGGTATTATAATGTTACAACTATATTATATTATATTATTAGAAATATAATATAATTATAAAATATAATAATATAATATAATATAACATATTATACTTATAATATATAATATAGTATATTATCATATATTATCTATTATAATATAAATTTATATTGTAATTATATAAACACTTAATTATAATATTATATATTTAAAATAATAAAATCCTAATTTTTATTATAGCTATTATATTATTAATGACAACATCACATCTATATAATATAATATAACATAACATAATATAATATAATAATATTATTTATAAAATATATGATTATTATATTTAATTTTATAAAAAATACTACTATCCCAATTATTATTATAATTATTAATTACAATATCACAACTATATTATATTATATTAACATATAATGATAAATATAATTATAATAATTATTATTAATTACAACATCACAACTATATATTATATTATATTATCTTATAATGATAAATATAATTATTATTAATTACAATATCACCATTATATTGTATATTATATTATATTATAAGATATAATTACATTATATAAATTAGTATAATATAATATTAATTATATTATAAATATTAATATAATAATTATAATATTCAAAGGTAATGATGTAAAAGAAAATTAAAAGAACTTGGAATGAACATTTCTCTCATATAAAGAAGGAATGATGATTCATCAATTTGATGAAAAAGTCATTCCATTTTAAATGACCATTCTTTTTTCTAAAACCAACTAAATATAAAAATAAACCTTAATTCCTTTTCATTACTCCCAATCAAACAAAGAGATGCCAGTGAATGGGTTTAAACTTTTTTAACTGGCCAAGAACAAGATGACATTTGTTCTATGAGACAACGAAAGTGACAATATGGTACTATCCTTAAACTATTACTTTCATTTGAGCTACTGCGGTGGTTTCTCTTCAATGCTTGTGGTCGAGAGGATAATCCTTCTTTGTCGGCGCTAAGCCGCGGACAGGCAAATCTGATGTAAGACTACGCTGGATAGTTTGCAAGATTTTCAAGGGTTGCCAATGATTGCCAATTAGATTTTACACCTTTTTAAGACTTAAGGATAGGAGACAAATAGGAAACATTTCACCACTTCATTAGGCTTATTTTCCGTGATTTGAAGTTTGAAAATGTCATTGCTTATAATTTAAATGGTACTAGTACAATTTGTTTGACTTCCATTAAAAATAAAGAGGTAAATTATTCAAAAAACAAAAAAAAAGAGGTAAAGTAATGGAAGAACGAAGAGTTTCTAAAACTGAAAAAACGACAACATGCAATTGGGGTTTTTTTTTTTTTTTTTTTTTTTTCTTTTACATTACGAAATATATCTAATTAATCACTTTTTTTAGGAAAAAATTTCATTTTAATAAAAAAAATTATATACTCAAACTAATGGCAAGTGAGCACCACTTACAATGAAATTTGATCCAACAGAAAATATCTGCTCGTAAAGATGAATGAAGCACATAAGTGAAACATAAGTGCTGAGACCCAACAGGAAAGGATTCGCTCGGCACATAAAGAATGAGTGCGACCAAGGCTCGTTAGACGGAACCATTACAGTCGATGAATTAACCTAGTTGACTGAGATCAAACCCTAAATAATGGAGAAACAAACAACATGACATAGAACCAAATCTAATCGGATACCATAACCCATGCTATCGATAAATGGGCGGGACACATTAATAAAGTTAGAAGGCAGGGAAACCATTTCGTTATTACAAAACTAATACAATAACAAAATAACAAAAACCAACAACATGGCGGAAGTATCAACGCTTTTATTACAAAACGATAAAAACAACGAAAAAAAAAAACAAATAGCCATAGCTAACAAGGGGGACTCAACGACAACAAGCCGGCGATCACGTCATAGAGTAAACAATCGAATCTGAGAAGAGCCGCTACAAAATGAGCATAATATCTAGCCACAAAATCAAATTCAGAGATCTCTAAAGGAAACATTGTACTATCGGGATCGAGACCCACATGCCACAGGCCCACCAAAAACATCCCGCATCTCACATCATCAAAAGCCTCAAAACTTCCATTTCTAATAGCGAGCACCCAACACATCACGCAACCCAGATCTATTCATCACGACCGCCACCGTACCACACCCATCAGCTGCAAGAACCACCCACGAGACCCTGGCTACCATCGGGAGGGCCGAGAGTCCGACAACCAGCCAAAGACGGCATCAAGACTCTGGCCCTAAGAAGAAAACCAGAGAGAGAGAGGGAGGGAGAGGGAGAGAAGAGAGGGAGGGATTCCACAATGTCTGGGTTAATCACAATAATTTCGTCCTAAAAAGATTTGGTTGTTGATATTGCACCCTAGCAATGGCTGGACCTTTTCTCTTTTGGGCTAAAGATAAGATGACCAATCTCTGAAGTACGTTAACTCCACAAAAATTAGGATTCAGAGGCCGAAATCAGTAAAAACTGCATCTAATCATACAAAATAACTTGGCAAACGCTCGAATAGTATACGCTATCAGACAGCTAAGAATCCAAATTCAGTTTTGTTCTACAGCACCAACAAAAAATTCTACTTTAAGTTGCTCGTTTTCAACTACAAGTCTACAACTCAAAAAGAATTTTCAATATCTACTTCTGGTTTCCAGCGCGCTCACTTGAAAAAAGGACATAATCCAACAAAAAAAAAAAAAAAGGAGAAAAGTATTCTTCATACAAGGGTACAGAGTAATAGAAACTGATTCTAACTTCAAAAACCACGCTTTCGCCGTTGTCGGAAATGTCTTAGAATGAAGCTATCTGCGTATAAAGGATAGTTCTTCCTGATCAGGCCCTTAATGCATTTCCAATATGAGAAGTCAACCAACTTCCCATCCTTTTGAACAATGAACAAACATCGCGATCTTTCAAAATCAGGATGATAACCAACCTGTCCATCCAAAGAAGAGAAACATGCGACCCTTAGAAATCTGATTCAGTGGTAAAACAAAGATGTGAAATAATTCAAGCACAACTTAATTTACTTATTCCCTAAATTGTACAGATTCTAGACACTAGCACTCCCAAGAAGCTATATGGAGTGTCTGAGGGAGGAACTAAACGAAGACATTTTATAAAAGCTTAAATCAGATCAAGCATACAACATAATTTCAGATAAATCACTGAATTAGAGAGTATCATATATGAGTACGGTGAAAATGGGGGCATGGAGAGAGAGAAAAAACTTACCGTGATGTAATCAATTCCACATCCAATCTTCTTCTCAAACTCCGGATGAAAGGGAAGCAACCTCTCAAGAATGGTTTTCTCATGCTCAGGACTCAGCCTATCTCCACTTTCGTATCTGTAAACACCACATTTGCACGTAACAGTATTTAGCCAAAACAGCAAATTATACAAAATAACATTACGGAATCAGCTAAAAACACCATATATCTTCAACAAAAATTCTCAAAGGCATTTAGCAGAAGTAACTTCGGCTCTAGTTCGTCATTTTTCTTGCCTACTGACCGTGTAAAAGCAACTTAATCCCGCCACAGAAGATGCCATTCAATCAAATATTATCCCTCATGTGAAATGTGAACCATAGAAGGACCAACCGGCAAATTAGTTAGAGCCCGTTTGTTTTATATACTCAAACTTTTCTTCTCACAAAAATTTGAATTTCAAACGTTAAAATCAAGAATTATGGTTTGCGATACCTTCCAAACGTGAGAGAGGCAATGTGCCCAAACGCAGTATGGATTCCCCATGAGGTGAATTGCCTATATACCCTGACCCTGGTAACTGACTCGAAGGAGCAGCCTACCACCCCATCAAATGAATAGTAGTTTAGTGCACTTAGGTAAATTGAAACTGGCGTATAAAGCCTAAGCAAAACCTACTTACTTCGAAAGCAAATTCCCCATAAGGCCATAATCAACAATTCCACTACTGGCTCCCAACCTAAGCCAGCCTTAAATACTGAAGCCAAAGCTCAATTAGGCAACAATTGCCCAATGATGGTCAGATTCACGCTTATGAAGAGCTCCAACATTACCAAGACTCAAAATTGCAAGTTCTAATCCTGCATTTTTCATTAAGTATAGCCCAAGAAATATCTTCAAAGCTCCTCTCTTAATTATACACCTATCTATAATACAATTGCAGCTCACATGCTCGTAAAAGGTTAACGATAAAACATTCTTAAACAATCGGTCGTTGGAGAACCGAACACCAGAACCTGATACTTCTAGAATGACTACAGAAACAATTTAACAAAAAAAAGAAAAGTGATCCATTAGAGATATTCTCACTTACGCCTACAAACTAAAATCAAAAGGGAAAATGACGAATTCATTCAATTTGGAGCTTGGTAACTAAGAAAAAAGAAGGCGATTCTTACTTTTCGGAATGGAGAATCATCCTAACGAAGCCAACCAGAGGCACAGTGTCTTCCAAAATCTTGTCCTCCCAATCCACCCATTTATCTTCTTCTTCGTCGTCGTCGCCGCCGCCGCCGCCGCCGTAATTTCTCTTCCGCTCAATCTCCTTCTCTTCCTCCGAAATCCCGGCCAAGTCCTTCCTCGGAGACACGACCGGCTTCCTCAGCAAATCAGGTCCGAACAACTCTTGGCTGCCGATTCTACTACCACCGCCGTCAGAGCCGGTCTTTAGGGCGCCAACGCGAGCGGGGAACGACGTCGTCGCGCGGAAAGGGAAAGACAAAGTCACGGGAGAATAGTGGTGGTGAGAGAGAGTGTGTCTATGGAGGTTGTTTAGAAGTGGCGGTGGGTTAGAAATGAAAGCCATGGCCGTGTGCCCTAGCTCTACACTACCACTGGTTTGGAAATTCTATTCTTCTCTGTTACCTAATTCTCAGTTATGGCTCATTGTCTTCTTCTTCTTCTTCTTCTTCTCTGGGAAGAAAAATGGTTGAGAAGAAGGTCAGATTATCCAGCAATATGTTGAAACCTCCATGGCTGAGTCGGTGAGGAGCTTCAGTGAAAAATCTTTTGTTTTTCAGACCGGATAAAGACGCAATAGGAGCCCGGCTGTCCACCTCTGCATCTGTTTTCTGTGGTTGCCGCTTTCTTATCAGGGCCTTCTATGGGGACGGGCCCATAAAGTAGATTGGGCTTTTCGGGTTGGAGTTTGGGTGCGTATATGTACTTTAAAAAATGCAACTATCAATTATTTCCCATTTAAATTTATTTAAATTTATTTTATGTTACTAATAATCATTATTATTTTATATCTTGTAAATTATTTTCTTTAATAATATTAAAATTTTGTACAGTAATATAAATAATAGAGTTAAAAAAAATAATAATTAAATTTAAAATTTTATCTATATAAAAAACTACATGCTTTAGGGGTTGTTTGGTTGAGAGATTCGTCCCCCGATTCGAATCATGGTTCATGATTCGTTAGTGTTTTCTCTCAAAAAAATACACGTAAATAAAAAATGGTTATAATCTTATGATTCTAATCCATGAACCAAACGTCTACTTATTCTCCTTTGACACTCAAAAAGTTTTATTAAAGCACCCCATTTTAATTAATTTTATTATTGTAAATTTATCGATAAGTGAAAGGACCATAATATACAATCGTAAACAAAATCAAAGAACAACACACCCCCTTTAATCTAGAGATCACACATAGTATAAAGTATACAATCCTGACATTTTTGCAATTCGTATAAGGTTCTCATACGTTCATGGCTTTCCTTCTTTTCTTTTCGCCTAACGTTTTTTAATTTTAATTATTGAAAAGCATTCCATTCACGAACAACAAAGCAAACAACCAAGCGTTTTCTATGTGCTCTTCTAGTTACTTTTATTGTAAAAAATCCGTATCAGAGTGGGTTTTTTCGAGTCCGTTTGGTACCTAAATTCGTTTCCTGATTCGAATCATGGTTCGTAATTCGCTACAGTATTTTCTCTCACAAAAAATACACATAAATTAAAAATAATTCTAATCACATAGTTTGAATCCATGAACCAAACGCCACCTTCATTATCAATTTCATCTTCTTGTTGATTTACATTTCTTGGGTTTATTAGAATTTATCACTTTAATGCATTTATGATTACCTAATTTTTATGTCTTGGATTCTTCAATTGCAGATGGTATAAATGTAGGAGGAGAGATGTATATTTGTTCGCTAAGATTTCCATCCTTATTTGCGGAGACGAGAGAGGGAGCATTGAAATATAAATATTGTTAAATTTTAAATACAAAAAATATCTCTTGGGGTGCTTTAATAAAAGTTGGAAGTGTCAAATAAAATTTCCCTTTGAATAATTGGACGGACTTTTGACGTATTTAAAAAGATCCATTTCCTTTTTTTTTTTTTTTTTTTTTTTTTTTTTTTTTTTTTTACTGTTTTTTTTGTGGTCTAGACTTTAGATTCTTCTGAGATCTCCTTCGGGTATTTGGACTTGGTCATGATATTCTTTTTCCTATTTCGGCAAGTAAAGAGATATTCTGAAGCAACTTCCTCCTACATTCGTCTTATTTGACTTCCTTCTCTCGCCAATACATCGAGCGAAACTCTTTGCATTACACGACAAACCTTTTATAATTTTGATAATATTCATGCCGACTGACGACTTGTTCATGCCATGACTTGTTCTTCTTTCCTTGAACTAGGGAGAGCATATTACTCAGCATTGTTCTCTTTTAACTTTTAAGTCTTATAGTTTGAAAATGCATATTATGACAACCTACCAGAAGAAACAAACGCCTTGACCCATATTTTCAAAAAAAAAAAAAAAAAAACACAAAATCAAGTTATTTAATTACTCTGGTCTCATCAATAGAATATAGAATATGAGAATCAATGGAAAGCAAAACGTGCCTAGTAATATGTTTCTTAATGATTGTGTTGGATTTGGTGGGATCAAGATCAACTTCAAGAGCGGCCAATATTGGTAAATTAGCAGACAGATGTGATCCAGACACCAAACAGCCAATTGCAAGAATAGGAGGTGTGATTGATTACTCCACTCGTATGGGCAAGGAACAGAAAATAGCCATGGAAATGGCAGTTCAAGATATCTATCATTCAACATGTGCTAAATTTGATTTGCTACTTCAAGATTCCCAAGGGATTCCAGCTCGAGCAGCTGCTTCTAGTACTTGAATTGAAACTTTTCTTTTTCTTTTTGTTTTGCTAACAATTATTTTATTTTATAAGTTGGTTGTTGAACTGAAATGTTGTTTATTCTTGCTTGCAGCTATTAAGCTCATGAGAAGCAAACATGTTCAAGCTGTTATTGGAACGCTCACAAGGCAAGAAGCAGCTCTAGTCTCTGAGCTACACAACGCAACCGAGACATTCCCTTTCATGTCTCTTAATTCACCGGCTACGTCAACTCCACAACCATTGCTATTTCAGTCTCCGACCTTCTTTCAAATGGCGGATGACGTCGTTTTCCAAATGCAATGCGTCGCCTCCATAGTTGGTCACTTCAGTTGGCGAAAGGTCACAGCAATTTACGAGAACAACAATGGCTTCTCCAATGGTTCTGGGGTATTGACCCTTCTCTCTGACTCACTGCGGTTGGTTAACTCGGAGATTGAATACCACAGGGAATTCCCATCAGTCTCTTCTCTCTCTGATCCCGAAAAGGCTATTGAGGAAGAGCTTAAGAAGCTTGAGAGTTGTAGCAACAGAGTCTTCATAGTCTTGCAGTTTTCTTTGCAGTCGGCTATACTGCTTTTTGAAAAGGCAAAGCAAATGGGAATGATGGAAAAGGGCAATGTTTGGATTGTGGCTGATGATCATATCACTGGCCTTCTTCATTCTGTCGATTCTTCGGTTATGCACAACTTGCAGGGTGTGATCGGCCTCAGAACCAGTTTTGGAGATACTAGTGAGGCTTTTAAAAAATTCAGAAATAGATTTAGAAGAACGTTTGGATTGCACTATCCAAATGAAGAAAGTTTAAGTCCAAGCATCTTTGCACTCCGAGCTTATGATGCTATTAGATCCATTTCTCTAGCCGTAGGAGATTCGCAAAACAAAAATGTTACATCTAGAGGATTATCCAAAAATCTCGCAAACGTCGATTTTAGGGGCCTAAGTGGATTGATTAAGTTCAGGAATGGAATACTATCCAGAACACCGGCCTTTGAAATTATAAATGTGATTGGAAAAAGCCATAGAGAGATAGCGCGCTGGTCATCACCCCATGGCTTAGGGAAATTCGTCAAACATGATGAGATGAAAGTTGAAACTAATAATGGTGCTATTAGCGAGTATGAGCCAATATACTGGCCAGGTGGGCTGCAAACAGTTCCAAAGGGTTGGTCTTGGTCTGATGTAGAGAAGCCATTACTGAGGATTGGGGTTCCTGCTAGAGGAGCCTTCAAACAGTTTGTTCGAGTGAGCTATGATCAAGAAAAGAACGAGACCCTTGTGTCGGGATTTTCGATCGAAGTGTTTGAACAAGCTGTGAAGCTTCTCCGTTATAAATTGAATTACGTGCTAATACCCTTCAACGGTTCATATGATGACATGGTGGAGCAAGTCTATAACAAGGTAGAAAATACAAATTTATCACTTTCTCATTTTCTAATTTTACATACTAGTCAGTGACGTATATATATTTACGTTGTTGTGCAATAAGGGCTTTGACGCGGCTGTTGGGGACACAGACATCACCCCTAACAGGTATCAGTCTGTGGATTTCTCGCAGCCATATGTGAGCTCCGGCCTAGAGATGGTAGTACCTGTGGAACCAGATACCAAAGAAACATGGACGTTCATGAAGGCCTTCACGGGAAAGATGTGGCTGCTGCTCATGTTTATGCACTTCATTATTTGCTCTGTTGTTTGGTTAATAGAAAACGAACTTGTACACAACCCCGAATTCCGGGGTTTAGGAGTCATGATTTGGTTTTCTGTTACTGTCCTCTTCTTTGCCCATAGTAAGTCTCTTACCTTTATAATAAACTTTAATTTTAGTTGTTTTCTCTCTTCTTTTTTTTTTTTTTTTTTTTTTTCCTTTTTTAAGTGAGATTACATATTCTCATACTTTTTATATGTGGGGGTCTATGCTTCAATTCAACAGTCTCAAGACTTTGAATGCAATTAAAATGTATAATCATGTTTCATTTTAAAGAAAAGTTTCTCTTTTTCTTCATGGTGTCTCGACTGAATATATATATATATATTAAGGATAATCTGACAACTTTGTTATTGTATGCAGAAGAACAAGTTAAAAGCAATTTGGCTCGATTTGTACTTGCGCCATGGTTGGTTATGCTTTTAGTCGTGATGGTTGGTTTCCAAGCAAGCCTCACCTCCATGATGACTGTATCCCACTTCAAACCTTCTGTGGTAGATATCGAAACTCTGCAGAGAACAAATAGGAGTGTTGGGTGTAATGGAAATTCTTTTATCGTCCATTATCTGAACAAGGTTCTGAAATTTAAGTCGGAGAACATAGTTCGTGTTGATTCAATCGATGACTACATAGAGGCCTTTGAGAAGGGAGATATCGCGGCAGCTTTCTTGGTCGCTCCACACGCCAAAGTCTTCCTTACAAAATACTGCAAGGGATATACTAAAGCGGGACATTCTTACAAAGTGGGCGGCTTTGGTTTTGTGAGTTTTTTATTTCCTCTTACTCCACTAATATCTTTATTTTTTGAAAAATCCTTTTGGATTTTAACTCCACCAGACACAAGAAATAGGTCCCACCAGGCGATCCCGGCTCCATGAGTGAGACCTACTTCTTGAGTTTGACGGGAATTCATTCATGTTTGAATTTTTAGGCCATGTTTAAAATTAGTTTTATTTTTATTTTTTTACATTTTTTGAGAGAAAAAAATGAAAATAAGAGAGAAATGACGTTTGGCATAATTAAAAATAAAAAACGAAAATGAAATTATTTTTTTATTTTAGTGTAAAATAAAAGAGAAATGAAAAATAATTTTTAGTAATTTTTTATTTTTTGTTTCCATTTTTTTTTCTCTCGAGCACAAAGTAAGAGAGAGACATTAATAGATTTTTTTATACTAAAAATAATTTCTTGAT